GGACCGTCGCTAGAATTGGCTCGTAGCGACGCTCCTAGGACGTGGTTCGGCTCGGTCCGGAGGTACTGTGTATTGCGAGGAAGGCAGACTAGTTTTTTAATGCATTGTGGCAGATGGTTGTGAATGCGTGGCTGAATGACGAGATGCTGGGCTCCAGTGATCCGGAAGTGCCGCGCAGCCGGTGGAATGGTCACCATCTGGCTTGCTCATCCTTGCAGCGGCTAAGATTCGTGACAAAGAGGGACTGCGTTTCATTAAGTGCATCTGAGCTTTGGCGTGAGTGGCAGAGCCATATGGAGTTCCAAGCGCTTCTTCCAACAGTCGATAGGCCTGACTAACCCACAACTTGCAGGCTGCCAGGGACAGCCGCGCCTCCTCATATGGGTGCGGTCACACGCGCGAGCGCCTGCAGATGGCAGTGGTCTAACAAAGCGGTGAGGGTGGCTCTACCCCATATCGTTGATTACAACCGAATGTTTGGGAGGTATTCTGATTCCTTTTGTTCGGATTTCATATGATCAGCATGATTCGCGCATGTGCAAATACTACGTTCGGACGGGAAATATGTTGGCGTGAGTGACTGTGTCACGCNNNNAGGCGGTAGGGCGAGTTGTTTTGCAGGCTGTAAGCTTGACATAAGCAGGCGAAATGAGCTGATAGACCAGTTGAACAGGCTGAGTATGCATTCATCGGCGCGCGACTAGAGTCTTGAAGTGAGTTGATGAGGCGATCAGCTGCGGAGGTGAGGTCGCGTTTTGTCTATGATTGTCTGTTTGTCTTGCTCACAGCGAGTGTGTTGCGACGCATGCTGGTTTGTCAGCATGGCTGGGAGATGGATGGTGGCTGTGCGCCAGGGGGATGCTTTGAAAGGTGTGGGTGAGGACTGGCCTCCGCAGTCTGGCAGGTTTGTACGACTACTAGAAGCCGTATGTGCTATTCAAAAGGCATCGCAATACGTTTTGATGTTTGCAGTTTGCGGAGGGGGCGGTTTTGCCGCGTGGAGCAGCTGATGCCCGGTTTGCTATAGCGTGTGTCTTAGCCATCGAAGAGCCACTGGTTGTGTAGGCGCGACGCTGTATCGTATCCAAGAGAGTATGCCACAAAGGTTGGCTGGCACGC